TTTTTTTTTGGTGGAACCGGGGATTGAACTCAGGCCCTTGCACTTGCCAGGGAAGCGCTTATTCCACTGAGCCATCTCCTTGTCCCCCTAAATTACATTGTTACAGCTGAAAAATTGTAATCTCTTGCTGGATGTAGTGGCACATGCCTGTAACCCCAGCACTTAGGAGGCTGAGACAAGAGAATGCATCCAAATTTGAGGCCAGCCTGAGGGACATACATGAGCTCAAGGCCTCCCTGCACTACATAGTGAGACTCTGCCTGAAAAAAAAAGTAATCTCTTAAATTGTAAAGATACCATAAGTCAGTACTAATAATGGTTGAAACTGAATTTTAAATCACAGAAAAGGAAATGTTTATTTTTAAAAAATGAAAGCACAATGAAGGTCAATACTACCATCAAAAACCTAATTAAATAGGCAGGCTGGTGGCATGGACCTGTAGACTTTCTCAGCTACTCACTGAAGTGGGACGAGTACCTGAGACCAGGTGCCAGATGAGCGACACGGGGTGACCCTCGTGCCAAAAAAAAAAAAAAAAAAAGTGCAAGGGCTGGGCATATAGCTCAGTGGCACAGCACTTGCCTGACAAACATAAGGTCGTAAGTTTGATTCCCAGAACGCAAACAAAAATGACATTAATTCTTTACAAAGGTGCAAGATTTAATTAAACCCCCACTTGAGATTGGAATTATAATCAGTTTTTTAATAATGTTTTTAATTAAACATTCACTGTATTTTTAAAATCACACCTCATATATATTACAAGTTACACATTAGATTGATGTGATAAAAAATTTCCAGGGTATGCCTTCCTCTTAGTACTTAATCTTCTGTAAAACCCACAAAACAGTAACTACACACTCACAGTGCAGAGGGTGCACTCACCTTTACAACTGACGGCAAATAAGACCACCCCAGCAATGCCATCGCCCTCTGGGACGAGCTCAGCTCCTAGCCAACAGGTGCCCTCGGGATCCGAGCCATCGCATCTGACCCACAGGGGCGGGAGGGCAGCGATGGGCCGCGGGACCTGCAGGTGCGTCATGTTAGGGTTGTGAGCCATGGTGTAGAGCCCAATGAGCTGTCTGCAAAGCAAGAGCAAGAAAGAAAAGACCACAGTTCTGGGCGGAGCGCACGGTGCAGGGGCAGCCGCACTCAAGGCTCCACATTTGATCCCTATGACCACTAAGGGGGAAGAAAAAGAATTTTTTTATAAAAGATACCATGAAGGAAGGGTCTCCCAGAGAGAAGAAGCTGGAAATGAACTGATTAGGGGCACCAACATCAATGCGTAGTATCTCGCCCAGAGGAAAGGGAGCAGAACTTAGCAAGCTGACAAGAACACACACCAGAAACAACAGTGTGACTGGCAAACAACCAGTCACACAACTGTATGAGGCTGCACAGGAGCTGCTGCAGGGAGCACAAGGCCTGGGGCTGGGGGCTGAGGGGGCAGAAGGAACAGAAAAAGGGTGCGAGAGAAGCTGGTGAAGCGAGTGGAGCCAGCAGCTGTACCAGAAAGTGCTCAAGATCACGGTCCCTCGGGCCCTTAAGGAAACCTGATTATAAGCCCTCCATTGGATAATAGTACTGTCATAATGTTAGATTTCAACTTTTTTTTTGGAAACAGGGTCTCAGTATGCAGTTGAGGCTGGTCTAGAACATGCGGTGATCCTCCTGCCCCAGGCTTCCAAGTGCTGGGACTATTGGTGTGTCTCCACAACTCCTGGCCTAAATGTCCTGGTTGTGATCATGGTTCTATGGTTACATAAAAGAACGTTGTAGTACTTGTTCTTACGAAATACAGCAGCAACACCTCGCTTCACAAACACTTGCTTCTGTTTGTAAACAATTTAGTTCGCAAGGAAAAGGGTTCAGCAAAATTTTGATTTGTTCACAAACTCTATCGGGTGACAAACATAACCACAGCCATCTTCCCCACACAAACACAAATGCAGCCATCTTCCCCTAAATCATACAATAATCTAAGTTCATCAACTAAGGTACCTACTATATAGGATGAAGAATTTAGGAGTAAAGGAACACAATGTCCCCAAGGCAGTATTGCTACTTCACTTAAAAAACTGTGCATTTATCTATGGAGCACATGCAGATCCTCCTGTGCATACACGCATACACTGTATTTCAATTGCTATGTACATTGTCCAAAGATACCACAAAGCTGTCATGACAGATCATAACATATATGTCACACGCACATCTGCACATAAACATAGACTGTTTTGCCGCTACATGTCTACTTGGACAGACAGGAAAGGAGAGAAAATGACAGCAGGTTCAGCAAAATATAAATGGCGAATCTGAGTTAGGCACATGCAGAGGCTTCTGTATTATTCTTGTAATTTTTCTGTAATTACAATGGATATCTAAAATTACTCCAAAATGTGGCTTGACTTTCAATAAACTTTCCAAAATGTGGCTTGACTTTCAATCATGTTTAGGAAAGGAGTTTCTAAGGGATTTCTCTTCAAAAAGAAAGTACAATAATTCCAGAAGGAAGAACTGAAATGCAAGAATAGCAAAGAAATGACAGCAAAGCAACTCTGGCTGAAGAAATCAGTATGAACAATGGAGAAAAGAAGGGGCCCGACTGCAGCCTCCACCCCAAAGCTGTGAGAAGAGATGGATCAACATAGTGATGTGAACAGACAAAATCAAAAGAAGTCTCTGTGACTTCTGTGACAGTTGTTACTGTTCTGTCATGATTATTTTGAGCTCTGTCTCCCGGAGCTCCTGTGGCTGGACTTGGCCTCCACGTACGGCTACAACACAGGGAGGCAGAAGGGGAAGCTGCCCAGCAGACGGAGCTGCAGGGTTCCAGCATCTGGGTGCGTATGCTCTGCAGCGCTCTCACCACTGCTGCCCGGGCCACTAAAGGCCAGCAGCTCCCGTGGATCAGCAGGACAACTGAAGTCCCCTGAATACTTCAGATGCCCACTGGGAATAGCAGCAGCCTGGCCAAGGCCCTGCAGGGTGGTAAACAGGCTCCAACAGGTCGCTTGTGAGGAATCTGGTTTCTCACGAAGTACTAAAGAGCCAGCAAAGGGCTGGAGAGATGGCTCAGTGGTCTAAAGTACCTACTTGGAACAAGCTTGGCAAAGCACAGGGACCGCAGTTCGATCCCCCAGCACCACATGCCAGCCAGCCCCGCCCCCTGGTGGGCTGAGCTGGCCACACACACACAATAAATAAATGTAATAAATAAATAATTAAAAAATAAATAAATAAATAAAGAGCCAGCAAAGGGTATTTAAGCAGGGAGCAAGATGACAGAGATTGGGGGTAGAAGGCTGGGGAGATAGCTCGGCGGTCTAAGTGCCTCACTGGCAAGCCCAAGGACGTGGGGTAGATCCCTGGTATTGCATGCCATGCAGGCCCCAGAACTCCAGGTACACCATGTAAAACCAGGCATGGTGGTGCACACCTGTAATCCCAGCTCTGGGGAGACTGAGACAGGAGGATCACTATGAGTCCAAGCTGCATAGTGAAACTCAGTATCAAAAAAAAAAAAGATCAGGCCTTGATGAACATAAGTCTAGGAGCAATGAGGAAGAGAGGCTGGGAAGGAACCAGCTTGGACACATGGAAAACCGTAAAAAGTAAAGACAAGAACTGGCAGAGAAGGGCGGAGAGGAAGGTAACTGCTGTCTCCGTGACTGAGAGCTGTGTGCTACCAAGCAGAGCAACCTTAGCCAGATGCACACATCTCAGGGGAGGCAGAAGAGGGGATATCTATACCTATGTATCTATCTGGGGATAGATATATTTTTTCATGGTTTATAAGAATGCTTCAATTTAAGTCCTATCCAAAAGCTAGGTATAATCCCAGCACTCGGGAGGCTAAGGCAGGAGGACTGCTACAAGTTCGAGGCCAGCCTGGGCTACAAAGTGAGTTCAAGGACAGCCTGAACTATATAGTGAAATCGTCTCAAAAATAAATAAATTAAATTCTATCCTCCAAACTTGCCTTTATACTGAGAAAAACTTACCTTGCTCTCCCAACTGGTAAAGGAAGTGGCCCAACATTCTCACCAGAAGAGAAATCAGAAATAGCAGTTTCTTCAGACTGTAGCTCTTCAACATGACTTGTTTCTTCTTTTTCTAAAGGCTTGAAAAGGGTTTTAAATTATTTAACCAGACGAAAGACCCTTTAAGATAGGCCACTTTCTTCACCACTAGACAGTGTCTTACAAACAGAACATAAACTATCCATCTAATTCCTGAGCAGAGCCGACTGGGTTATGGCAAGAATCCCAGTGAGTCTGGGTGTACCAGAAGCACCTCCCACTGCCCCTAAAGACACTGGTTTCACTGCTACTGGGCTAACAAGCATCTGCTGCATCCAGAGAAGTACAACCACGAGGCAACGGTGAAGAGCCACGGGAAGCCCCCAAGACACCGCTCACTGCACTGGGCCTTCCCAAGCCCCAGACCGGAAGACCTCCTTTCCGGGAATGAGCTCAGGCCCACTGTCCTCACTTCTTGCTTCACTTCTGCTCAGGGCTCCCAGCTCCCACTGGTGGTACAGGGTAATCCGTTTATTTATTAAACAGTTCAGCCTTGGCAAGAAAGACAGTATGTGTTAACATTTCTTAAGGGGGGCCTGCGGGTTAGCTCAGTTGTTTAGGTGCCTGCTGGGGCAAACCCAGTCAGGTGCAGAGGACCACGGTTTGACCTCCAGCTCCCCATGCCTTATCAGACCTGCCCTTAAGGCAGCCTGAGCCAGCCAAAAAAAAAATTCTTGAGCCTCAGTAGTAGTAGGTACTGTTATCTAAATTATCTTTTATTCCTCATAAAAATACAAAGGTAAGATGCCATAATTGGCCAGGCTAGTAGGGAGGCTGAGGTAGGAAGATTGCCTTAAAAACAAATAAAAGCCACTATCACTGTCCCCAGTTAAACAAAGTGGATCTTTTTTTTGAGACAGGTCTCACTATGCAGTGCAGGCTGGCTGTGAGCGCACTTGTAGCCCAGGTTGGCCTCAAACTAGCAGCAATCCTCCTGGTGCGGCCTCCCGAGTGCTGGGATCATACGCGTGCACCCCACACCTAGCTAACAGGTAGGAAAACAGAAGTGTCCCCTGCAGATACAGGTGCCACATGGCGAAGCCAACATCTGCTCGCCACTGCTCCCAACTGCGGCACATTCCTACCGCAGAATCCTCCACAGCAGTAGCGTGAGATGAGCTATTAACACACGCAACACTCTGGGTGCATCTGGAGGGCATCATACTGAGTGAAGGAAGTCAAACCCAAAAGGTGATTTTATTCATGACGTTATTGAAAAGATGTCATGAAACCTACAATGCAGGGAAAGGGCTCGGTGGTCGCCAGCAGGGAGGACACGATCATAAAGGGCTCCCCCAAGTGAGCCAAGGGAAGGTCTGGGGAGACCACCCGCTCAGCATCTCCACTGGGGAGTGAGCACAGCCTATGTGTGCGATAAACTTCACAGAACAGAAGAAAAAAGGCATTTTTACTGAATTAATAATTTTGCTTCTTTCTGTTTCTTAATGAAACTACGAGACAATCTAAAAGTACGTATATAGTTGATATTATATTTCCACAAAACAGCAAGGTACTTATTCCTAAAAGTTAGTATCCTCTTTTACTAATGCAGTAGAAAAATGTGTATGCTTGAGGTTATTCCCAGGGAACTGCCTTTGGGCACCACGAATCTGAACCACTGCTTACCACTTTTTCCACGATGAAGACCAAGTCATTTTCACCTAGAAGGCCTTTAACAGGGTTTGGTTGACCCTTGCTGATCAGCTGCACTTGAACATCCGCCTGTTAGAGACAAAGGCCAAGCAGTGTCACACAAAGATTTATTTTCATCTAGTCGCTGTCACAGCTCTGCTCATGCCTCGAGCCCTCACCCCACCCCCCACAGTGCCCTGCAGAGCACGCCTGTGCTTGGGGCCGCACCACAGCGCTCCGCTCTCGACTGTTAACAGCTGTGCTCCCTGATATGAGCATTCTACTGATACTGCCCTTGCTGCTGATTGTACGATGCCACTTAAAAACTTGAATGTAGGGGCCGGGGAGATGGCTCAGTAGCATAAGCGCTTGCCTGGCAAGCACAAGGGCCTGAGTTCAATCCCTGGTTCCGCAAAAAAAAAAAAAAAAAAAAAAACCTTGAATGTACTGGTTTATAGGTACTATATGGTTTTTATTAAAACCCAAAACATACTTACTTTAAAAAACATAAAAACAGCTTTTTAAAACAATAAAGGAATATCAGGGATGTTTTATTTTTTTGTGGGTACCAGGAATTGAACTCAGGACCCTGCACTTGCCAGGCAGGTGTTCTACCACTGAGCAGTATCCCCAGCCCTACATAGCTTTTTTTTTTTTTTTTTGCGGAACTGAGGATTGAACTCAGGCCCCTGCACTTGCCAGGGAAGTGCCCATTCCACTGAGCCATCTCCCCAGCCCTCTTTTTTTTTTTTTAATTGAGAAATAAATATGAATGAGACAGTTTCACAGCTGATTAATAGGACAGTTTTGATAGTCAATACACTGTACATTGTTATCTTCTTAGTGGTTATCCATAGTACAAGAAGCACACAGGATATTCTGTCCACACACTGTTAGTGCACCTCTTTCTTCTCATTGAATTGAGTGAAAGTAGCTGTAAATTTATCTATTTTGTATATATAAATACAAAATGATCTTTCCTTTTATTCTTTTTTTGTGTGTGTGTGTCCTGTCAGAGGTAAATATTCTATTGGCATCTAAATACCCTACATAGCTTTTTTTAAAAAGAGAAGTTTAAAAAAAAAAACAAAACTGCCCATAATCCTATTGCCTAGGATAATCACTACTGTTCTTAGGTCGGTTGGTTTATAATGCTGCCAGATATCTTCTGAAGGCATATAAATAATTTTTTTTAAAACTTCAATTAGTACATTTGCAACACATTCCATACGTACAATCTCTGTTCTTTCTGTCCCCTCCTCCTTCCCCCCTTTCTCATCTTGGTCCTCTTCCCATCTGCAACCTGTCTCTCTCCCATTTCCTACTGTCTATCATTGACCTTTATTTATATGTGGGTCTCCCATTTACGAGAAGCCATGCTATATTTAAGCTTGTATGTCTGATTTATTTCACTTAAGATGGTCTCAACATACAGCCATTTTCCTACAAAGGACCCATTTATCCTTTATAGCACAAGAGCACTCCACTGTGCATAAAGACCACACTTTCATCACCCACTCACCTGCTGATGGGCAGATGGGCTGTCTCAACGATTTTGTTATGTGCTCGCTTTGCCACTCACACGTCAAGATTTAGTTATATGACCTGTTTTGCTATAAATGGGTATGCAATGGCCACTGCACTACGACTTTAACTCTTTCAGGACAGCTGCTCAAATGGAACTTCTGCTTTGAAACAGGGTCTTGCTAGTCCTGCTGGCCTTGAACTCCGTGATTCTGCATCAGCCTGCTGGGTGTTGGGATTGCAGGCATATGCCACCCTGCTCAGAGTGGGATTTCTAGTCTGCTTTGTGAGGAATTTCCATTTTTTACTCATGTAGTAGTTACACTAGTTTAATTCTAATCAACAACATAGAAAGGTTTGTTTTTTTTGGCAGCCTCACCAGCATCTGTTATTAACTGACTTCCTTCTCCTTTTTTTTTTTGTTTGTTTTTGACACAAGTTCTCAGGATGTAGGTCAGGTTGGCCTTGATCTCACTTTGTAGCCAAGGCTGGTCTCAAACTCCCAGCAATCCTCCTGCCTCAGCCGACCAAGTGCTGGGATTACATGCGTGTACCATCATCTTTTTTTTTTTTTTTTTTGCGGAACCGAGGATTGAACTTAGGCCCTTGCGCTTGTCAGGGAAGCACTTATTCTACTAAGCTATCTCTGCAGTCCCCCCCCCCCTTTTTTTTTGTACCAGCAAAAAGAACTCAGGATCTTGAGCTTGCCAGGCAGATGCTTGTGCTGCTGAGCTACATGCCTGGCCCTTTTTTCTTTTTTTAAATGTATTTGGTACAGGATCTTACTACACAGCTCAGACTTGTAGTGATGCTCCTGTTTCAGCCTCCCCAGCGCTGGGATTACAGGAGTGCGCCATTACGCTTGGTGGCCAGCTCAGCACATCTGGAGGTGGGCTGGCAGGGCAAGTGGTGCAAGGGATTGAACCCTGCTTCCTGCACCAGGCACTTAAGTCTGCTGAGCTAACTCACCTGTCCTTTTTCCTTTTTGAAACAGGGTCCTGTTACGTTGTTCAGACTGACCTTGAATTCACTGTATAGCCCAAGCTGGTTTTGAATTCATGGTGACCCTCCTGCCTCAGTTTCCTGAGTGATAAGATTACAGGTGTGTGCCACCACACTCGGCTATTATTTGATTTCTTGATGACAGTGATTCTTTCGGGAGGAAGATAGAATCTCAGCATTGTTCTAATTTGCATTCCTCCAATGGCCAGAGATGTTGGGTTTTTTCATATAGTCACTGGTAATTTATACTTTCTATTAATTTCACTTGTTTATTTTTAGTTGGGTCTTTTATTTGGGGGGAGTATAATTTGAGTTCTTTATGTATATATTCTAAATATTAGCAGTTCTTTTTTCCCACTGTACAGGTTGTCTCCTCACTCTCTTACCTCTCATCTGTTGATGCTCAGTATGATTTCCTATCGGAATCATGTGTAACCAACGTTCTGTTCACAAAGCTCGTGCCTATGCCTACGATGTCAAGGGTTTTTATCTATTTTATCTTCTGGGTTAAGTGTTTCTATCTTAATATTTAGATCTTTGATCCGTTCTGGTTTTAGATCAGTGCCTGGTGAGGCACATGTCTAGAATTAGTCTTCTGCACGTGGACAGCCGCTTCCACAGACCATTTAGCTCATGTGCTTTAACCCCTCTGTCAAACATCAAGAATGGCAGAATATGCCTGGGGTTATTTCTATATCTTGAATTTTGCTCCACGGATCTACATGTCTGTTTTCATGACAGTACCATGCTATTTTTATCACTGCAGCTTTTATGTAACTTGAAACCTCCTACTTTGCTCTTGTTGTCCAAGATTGCTATTCTAGGTCCCTTCCAGATGCATATTAATTTTAATACTGTTTTCTCAGGCTGGGGAGATAGCTCGGCAGTGTAAGCACCTGCCTGGCAAGTGCAAGGACCAGGGTTCAATCCCCGGTATTGCATGCCACGCCAGCCCTGGAATCCCAGGAGCACAGTGCCAGCCCCAAACAGGCGTGGCGGCCCACACCTGTGACCTCAGCACTGCGGAGGCTGTAGCAAGACCCTGTATCAAATTAATAATTTTTTAAATTAAAAATAAATTAATAAAGATTATTTTCTCTATTTCTGTGAGGAATGCTATGGGTATTTTGTGTGTGTGTGTGTGGTACTGGCGATTGAACGCAGGAACCTGTACTTGCTAGCCAGGCGCTTAATCTATTGAGCTATCTCCCCAGCCCTGTTGTGGGTATTCTTATTGGGATTGTATTAAATCTATTTATTTATTTATTTTTCACTTTTTTTTTTTTTGGTGGAGCCAGAGATTGAACTCAGGCCCTTGCACTTGCCAGGCAAGCACTTATTCTACTAAGCTATCTCCCTGGCCCGTATACATTAATTTTAGAATCTACTTCATTAATTAACTTATAGATATACATTTTATGTCTCCATCTAAGAGTTTAATTATAAAATATTTGGCACATTTCAGACTCTATATAAATATATGAATATTTAAAATAATTTGTTCATAATCATCAAAAATGTTCAAGCACCCAAAACTTTCAACCCACAGTAGGTCACACTGAGCGGCTCTACCCAGCAATACCAGGCCAGGCACTGCTGACCCAGGAAACAGAGAGCAGCCTGTTAGAGACCAAGAGCCAACTGCATCCCAAACCCACTCATTTATCACAAGGTGTCAGCGCTGCAACTAAGCCTGAATCTGAGGTTTTAGTTTAGAAAAAACAGCTCTTGTACTGGCCTACACGCTGACATAGAGTTCAGGGAGCCCACTGCGACACGCAGGCCCTCAGCTTACCACCACTGGCACAGGCAGTCCGCAATGCATTCCACTAAGTGCAAGAGCCAGACCCACAGGCTGTGTGATTTTACTTATATATGACTTTAGAAAAGGCAAAGCTATAGTGAAAGAACACAGGTTTGTAGCTGCGAGAGACTAGTGGTAGGGGGAAAGTCTGACTATGAAGACAAATGAGAAACTTTTCAGACTAAATATATTTATCAAAATCCAAAGACCTGTACAAAAAGGATAACATTTAATGTGTAAGTTCACCTCAATAAACCTGATTTAAAACTCCTCTATTTTAAGATTGAGGTATATTTTAAAACCAAATAAAGTGCTCATACCTCATAGATAAATGGCTCTTTATAGACTCCTTTCTTTTCTTCATTAAATTCCCTGAAACACAGAACCACAGCTTGTTATTTAAATTCACAAGTTAACCAGCACTTTCTATCTGCATGGTATGAACAGAAAAAGAAAAGGCAAACTACTAATGGAGGTCCAAAGTCATCAGTGGAAAACGGTACAAATTAGGTTTAGAAGAAAAAAACAAAGCAACCAAAAAACTTATTTATTTATGTCTGTCTTTTGGGGACACGGTTTCGCTATACAGTTCAGGCTGGCTCTGAACTCCCAGCGCTCCTCAGGCCTCAGTCCCCACAGTGCTGGGATTACAGGTGTCCCACCATGCCCAGCCACCAGTCTTTTATTTTATTTATTTATTTTTTTAATTAATTATTTATTTATTTTGTGTGTGTGTGTGTGTGTGTGTGTGTGTCCAGCTCAGCCCACCAGGGGGCGGGCTGGCTGGCATGTGGTGCTGGGGGATTGAACCGCGGTCCCT